TAATCAAGTAGTTGTTTTACATAGACAAGTCGTCTATGAAATATTGGCGACTTTGAATTATTGGCATCCTTTTGATTGAAGAAGCTCTCCGCCACGATTATTTCCATGTGGCTAATTTTTAGGTGTTTCCTTATAAAGGCGAAGTTGCGTACCAAACTTCCAAAATTAATTAAGAAAGACAGACCATAATCACTTTTATAATATATATTTAATGATTGAATCTTGACCATAAAAGCAAAAAAGTTTATCATCAACGCAATTTTGACCATTGAACCTGAACGCGTACGGTGAGGAATCAAATTTTGCGTCAAATAAAAATTTCAAACTACGTAGCTAATTGGTAATTAATAACCCACCACCAAGTGATAACAACCCCATATATATAAATATAATATATATTATAATAATGTTGTGATATTTTTTTCATTATCTTTTCTTCTTCTATTATGCATTCTAGCTAGCGAGCATCAAGAGAAGGTTTCATTAATATGCAAAAGAATCCATGCAATTTCAATGGAGTATAATTGTACAGAGTTTCAAAGCCTAGCTAGCAATTAAATTAACAGACTTTTACAGTCTATTTCTGGGCTTTGTTTATATATATAAAACTTCCACTAAAAGATTGAGACATCAACCCGTAAAGGGTTAACACATGGAAAAAAAAGTAATCTGTATAAAGATATACATATATATATATATATACATGTAGATTTCTTGTAGTTAGTGAAGCGGCCTCCTTTAGATTGTCACTATTGAATTGATATATATATATTAATTAAAAAGAGTACTTCTTTGTAACAAAGCTGAATGATGATAGGGTAGAAACTGAAGAAAATTACGTTATCATCAAATATTTTTCATGCAAACTTTCAGCTTTTCTTCTTCCCATCCTCCTCCTCTCTCTCCACTTATGACATTAATAGTGCTTTTCATTCTCAAATACATTATACCTTCAGATGAAAGTAACTAAACCTCGTATGAATCGCATATATATATGCGTCACACGTGCATAGGGCAAAGTCTTAAATTAGTCAGAATTAGAAAACAAATATCTAAAATTTTTCTTTTTAAATTAGTGATTGTGATCATAACCATCATATATATATATATACATATTTATATATAGCTAGGTTTAGTCTTTAATATAATTCGTACGGGGTGGTGATAATTAATTATAATTAATTAATGCTTTCTTTTCCTGGTGCTCCTGTATATTCTAAGTCTCCGCCTACCAGTTCAAAACCATTTCTTTACTACTTAAAATGATCAAAAGCAATCTACAAAGCATCATCTTATATTTGTAATGCATATTTATATTTCTATATATATCTCTACAGATATATAAAAAAAAAAGAGTTGAGATAGGAGAAGAATTGATATTAATGGAAGATTATGTAAGAAGGGTAGATACATATTACTGTCACCGCATCAAAAACTGACACTTGTAATCAAGAAACTGCCCTTTGAATTCCCAATTCACGCGTGACTGTCTAAAGCTATATATGAGATAGACCGCAATAACAATATAACATTAATTTGCATGCTTTATATGTTCCTCAACGAAACTAAAACCCCCAAGAAAAAAGAGAAGAGAATAACGGACGGTCTTCATATTAATTTACAAACTCTCCTTTTCTACTTTAAAACTTTGTATAAACTATTATGAATAATCTTGAGCATATGCATGATCATTCACCTTTTTAACCAAATAAGCTTTTAGGTTAAGAAATGTAAATAGACTACAAACGTATAAATCCAATAATTATCTGTAAATTAAGCTTTTAATATGATAGAAATCCACTATGTATCTATTATTTAGCAACTATAAAACCGTATATATATATATATATACACACATAAATAACTATTAAAAGAAAAAAAACCGAGCAATCATGTAAGTGACAAATTAAGTTGAACATTATGATTCATGATGTTCATATATTAATTTAGAACCATATTTTTTTCAGTAGACTCGTGTCAAATTAATTAGTTATCATAAACTAAGACATATTTTATGGAGAAAAAGAAAGAAATCCAATAATCATGGCTAGTTTTTTTTTTTTTTCGTTTAAAAGTTATTGCTATATGAAGTCAAACTATGTTTAAATTGTTTAAAATTTATGATTAGCAGCTGACCATTAGTAAAACATACGTATAATATTCTTTAAAGGGAATATAATTAATTTGTAAGAAAGAAAAGAAATTATAAGAGAACAAGTCACCGAAAACTTGCTAACCGTATCTTATATTATTATTGGCTTTACAACCTGTCACAAGTTCTACGAGATACACAAGTAAATAGATTAGGGTTAGGGTTGTGACGGGTGTGTATATGTGATGCGGTAATGACAAAAATGGAGGGGGAAGAAACGGCCGAAAGAGAAAACATAAAAGGTAGTGGTCACGTGAAAAGAGGAGCGTTTTAGTGAAGCAATGTTCTGCTATGTAACGTAAGCTTGGGGCAAAAAAGTAATTTCACTTAAACCAAAAACAGTGTTGCGTTGGCACGTTTGGTGCATGATTTTTTTTGTACTACTACACCTTCCACCACCACCAGTATCCGTAAGTAAATATTAATTATTCAAAGCTCATGCAACCGCACAAAAAACCCTCTATATAAATCACAACCCATCAGTGCAGACATATAGAGCATGGCTAATTGGGTGTAAGAAGCGAGCAAGCCAGGGTTTCCCACTGTTTCTGTTTGAAACCATCTGTGTGTTTCTCTTTCTGTAAACTCATCTTCACTCGCAAAACAACGAGATGGCTCTTATCTCTACTGAGAATACATGGGCATTTGTCTTTGGTCTTCTAGGTACAGACTTTTCATCTTCCATCTCTTTCTATGTATATATATTTCAATAGCTATCAGGGTAGGTTGAGCCAGTAATATGTAATATATTGTGTGGTTTCTTATGAATGTTGCAGGTAATATCATCTCCTTTGTGTGCTTCCTGGCTCCAATGTAAGTGTAACGAACTGCTAATTTAGTATAATATGTAGCTATATATATATATATATATATATGTTTTTTTAGCGACAAGTGTGTTGTAAGTAATGAAAATATTTGTGTGGGTGGTGGGAATGCAGACCAACGTTTATTAGGGTTTTTAAGAAGAAATCGACAGAAGGGTTTCAATCAGTGCCTTATGTGGTGGCCCTATTTAGCGCTATGTGTTGGCTTTTCTACGGATTACAGAAGTCTGGTCTATTCCTTCTCATCACCATTAACTCTCTGGGTTGTGTCATTGAGACCATTTACATCGCTATCTTTGTTGCTTTTGCACCAAAGCAAGCAAGGGTATGTATATATCCATCTGATCTTCATTATAGTAACTCATGGTTCAGTATTAAATGATATTGTTTGTGTTAAAACTAAGATTTAATTTTGTCATTTGGGAAATGCTGCACGCAGTTGATGACTTTGAGGCTACTTCTGCTGTTGAATTTGGGGGGATTTTGTGGGATTATTCTCTTGACCCATTTCTTCGTTAAAGAATCCATCAGAGCTCAAGTTCTAGGATGGATTTGTACGGCATTTGCAACGAGTGTTTTTGCAGCACCTTTAAGCATCATGGTCAGCTCATCTTCCATATCACTCATTATTCACCATTCGTTATTCCTTTTTTCTCTCTCTATATTTCTTTCTTTTTTTCCGCCTAATCTTTGTCTCCTTTTCATTATGGATTTACTTTAATTGTGGGTCGAGTTTTACCCATTTCACACACAATAATGACAATTTCTCTCTCTTCTCTCTTCTCTCTCTCTCTCTCTCTGCAATATATATATATATATATGAATATCAATTAACATGTGTATATAATTAATATTTTTTATATATCTAAAGATAATTATATTGCTTTTACAGAGAGTGGTGATACGCACAAAAAGCGTGGAGTTCATGCCCTTTACTTTATCATTTTTCCTCACCATAAGCGCTGTCATGTGGCTTCTTTATGGTCTATCATTGAAGGACTACTGTATTGCCGTAAGTGCTTCTTAATTTCTCATTTATATTATATAATATATTATATCGTATATAAAGATACATATAACTCCCTTCCTAATCTATCTCAGTTTGATTGATATGAAAATATATTAGTAATACGCCTACATCCACATATTCATGTTTGGATAAAAAGCTCGTTCCGTAAGCATATCGAACTTTTTCTTTTATTCCATTCCTTTAATTTACATCACTTGAATGATTTGAGGATGAACAGTGAGTACAATTAAAGCTTCACCCCGGTTTGTCCCATAATTTGGGGCCCATTACCATTAAATTAAATCTCACCAACCCTTTATTCTAACTTTTTAGAAAAAAAAAAAGTAGAATTTCTGTGTAAATCATTTTAGCACGTGCAAAATTATATTTTCTAATCTTATTTAATTAAAGTTAGACTTTACAACATTAATCATATAACAAAGACTAAATAATATGATTGATTTTTAAAAATTATAACGTATATCTTTTATGACAGGTACCAAATGTACTTGGTTTAACCTTTGGAGTGATCCAAATGGTACTCTATGCAATGTATAGAAATCACAAGACCGTAGTGAAGGAAGTTGATGAGATTAAGGTGGTGGAGCACAGTATTGATATTATGAAACTAGACACCACCGTTCTTGTTGAGACACAACCATCAGTCTCCTCCAACCCAAATAATGATTCTGATCGTCATAGAGAGATCAAAGATCATATGATTGAACAAACTTGCCGTCCTTACGAGAAGGGCTTGGAATCCACCAATCCAGTCATGATCGTTGCAACTTAAATTACTCTTATATCATATACATAATGGATTTGGACATAAAGGCTTAATCACGTGATTCCTCCGTGTCTTGCACTTTACAGATTAATATATATAATATTTTTGTTATCTTTGATCTTTCTATCTAACTAGTTACTGTTTTGTAAAATACATGTATCTATTTTGATGCTGTATTTTTTTTTCTTTTATATTTTCTTTGTTTTCTTATGTAAACTAGTTTTCGCTGGGGTAAATAAACTGAATATTTATACATATATTT